TGCCATGCTTAAGTTACTAATGATTTCGAGAATAAATTTTCAGGCTCTCTGCTCTGATATCGTGATCTTAATTTATTTTTGTATTGGCGCAAAATAATTTGTTAATAAACAGTATATCATCTTGAGTTGTGCACACAGGTAGACACAGCAAGCATCCTCCAATCCACTGTAATAAATTTGAACACTATGATGCGCGAATACAGATGTGTGATGAGCCAATTGCTTTCGTGACCAGGAGCTGCATGCTGCATGATGTTTTATAACAATTCATTTCGTTTTTGAATTGACCTTTGCAGAAGCTGCTTTGTTACTAGCTGAGCAGCTGTTCAAACAGCTAGTTCCTATTTAAATCTCCCCTCCGCCGGTCACCGTTTTCCCGACCTGCATGGTTTTTATTCTTCTCTTGGTAAACTAAGCCTATTTAAGTACTTCCTGAATAGTTTGTATGACAAGGTAGAAAGGTAGATTGCTTCCATCATCATTGGCGATTTTGGCAATGTCATTGGGCTAATGAAGCCCTTCATTTCAGCTGCTTTAGTGGGTTGTTTTTTGATTGACTCTGTAGTAGTGACAACGGCTAAGCGCTTGTAATTGTAGAATAAAAAAAATTAGGCGTATTATCGCGCTAAAACCAGTAGTTTGTTCGTAAGTTGTGCATGGGGGTTTTTTTAGTTCGCTATCATTCGTAATCGACAAATTCACATTAAGAACATCACAATCTCAGTCCCCATTTGTTGTAACCTGATGGATATTTTTGGCAAGAACCGTTGTATCACGATTTCCACCCAAAAAAAACAAGGTTACAACCTTTTCGCCTTTACATATGGAAGCAACGTGATATGGTGTAGGCTGTTCAGATTTTAAAAGTGTTATTATTAAAGCTTACTCACAAACCATGGTTTGCTCTTTGATTATTTTTTTCAAAGCTTCTGTCTTACCGAATACGTGGTCGTTATAAGCACAAGACATGTTTTAAAACCATGTACAACAGTGGGCGTTTTGGGTTCATTGAGCTATTATGGGGTTACCGAAATGCGAGGTTGAAATCGGTCGATGTTAGCTTGTGAGCTGATAATTAATGGAGAGCACGTCAAATAGCAGTTATCGGCATACATTCATCATTGGCGTAAAGGGAAGAAAATCGCTGGTCCTTATGATTTGTCAGTTGCTTCTCGGAGTCAAATCAGTGAGTCTCAATGTGCTGTGGCTGAAAGCATCTACTGAACCTGCTACCCGGTAAGGCATCCTTAATTTGACATAGCGGCTTTGTGCACCATCGAAATAGAAAAGGCTATCTCCGATCGATGCTTAGAATCCCATGCTGTACAAGATCCGCATTTATATTTGCAAGACATCGTAAGGAGGTCATCGCCTTGCGTTATTTCGATAAATCATAATACCAATGGAGCAGATCGACTATGGGGGGGTTTTTTTTTTTTTTTTTTAATTGCACCAAGGTTGGTTTACACGCTAAATATTTTTTTTTTTTGGGTGCTGTACGGTACTGTTTAAGGGTGCCACAGAAATGGGCCTAGGCCTTCCAAAGTTTAGCAGCAGGATGACAGTCTACCATTAGCGCGGGTTAGAACGGATTATTTTCAGTCGGAATCGTGAAGAGCGATTGATATCAAAGTATCCAAAGGAAATCAATACAGGTTCTGACAGAAAAATATGGGAGCTCTCGAGATAAAAGAACCAGAAAAATATAAAAAAGTAAGGAGCAGCACTCTGTGCACATTGCATGACGTTACAGAACTAGATCTCAGTATAATGGTATTGTAATTTGGAAATTGGCGTAGAAAACTTTTGCTCCCAACTTTTTTCCATGGGCAATTTGAATTTGAAAAAATGCGATTTTGTTTCAAAAATGCCGATTCCCATTTTTTTTTCTTTTCACCATCTTTTCTCTTGGCTATTATTTTTAATAATATTTTTTCCCTTCTCCCTAAATATTATTCTGAACCCTTTGAGAGCCCATAACGAAAACAACACTGAATTTACCGACATTGAGTATTCACATTCCATGTCTAAACGACGTACTTTGGATACATCGCCACCGTCGTCGAACTCTAGCTCCACCTTTTCATCGAACAGCAGCAGGGAAGATTCTTCTGATCATACGTCCAACACTTCTCTATCGAGTGGAAATGACTCCTCTATAATGTCACCGGCTGGACGTCGTAAGCAGGCAGCGAAGTCCTCTGGCAATGCAACTTCCCATCATGAAACTGGTTATCCCAACCAGCCCGATAGTACGAATTCCCGCACAGAACGACAACGCAGCGTCACAGCGTTTTTAAACAAATTGTTTCGGTACGTTTCGCTGATCGCAACATTTTTTTCCCCCAACGTGTGCTTACCATTATTTTTTTCCTTAGTATGGTCAGTGAAACCAGTACGAACGAGCTTATTCACTGGTCTGTCGATGGAAAGTCATTTATTGGTATATATTATTCTTATCGTTTTATGTGGTACACCTATTTAACCGCCCAAGGGTGGAGGAGTAGCCAACCCCCCTGAAAGAAAGCGATGGGATGGGATGGTTCAATTGGTTGTCCTTAAAAAAGAGGATAATGATCAACTAACAGAAAAAAAAAAAAACTTTCCATTGTCGATAGTTGAGCATCAGGATGATTTTTCGAAAACGTTACTCCCTCGATATTTCAAACACAATACATTTGCTTCGTTTGTTCGTCAACTTAACATGTACAACTTTCACAAAGTTCCCCATGTTGAACAGCGAACGTTAATATCAGATACAATGAAAGATATATGGGAGTTCAGCAACCCAAACTTTCAACGTGGACGACCGGATTTGTTAAGCTTCGTATATCGAAAGCGTATACAGGAACGCGAGCAGACCAAACCCGAAAGCAACGTTCATACGCTGTTACAAACCAGTCAAAGTATTCGACAACGACAATCCGAGCTAAGTAATGAAATCCAGTCCATGAAATCCGATTTTCAAGCACTTTGGAAGGACACATTAGATTTGCGAGAAAAACAGCAAGAAAAACAAGAAACATTTGCCAAAATCGTTCAATTTTTATCGTACATTACTCGACTCAGCATCGAGTCAAACAATAATGGTAACGTAAATCGATATTTGACCCGGCCAAATCAAGTAGCAATGAAAATGACTGAACCTTATTCTTGCCCTCCAACAGGCGAGAATACGATGGGAGGAGACCTATCAAGAAAGTTATTGGCATGCCCTGATACCAACGAACTTCTTAAAATGGCTGCCCAACAGAATGAGCTGCGTGCATCGGCCTCCAAACCTGGATGGCCAGTGCAACCCTCTGTAGCTCCGGTGGCAGCCATTACTATGTCAGATGAAGAGGTGAACAATACCATCGCATCCACTGTGAGGTCGGTCAATGCTATTGCCAGTGATATAGAACACCTTAACCGAAATGTCGAGCTATTGGCCAAACGGTACAACTATAATTTTGATAGCGATGAGCTCAATTATGTACCGACTGGCGGATCGGTCCCTTCTCTTGACCATACTACTAGCGTCGATAATGAACTGAACATAATTCAATACCACCACACCGGAAAAAGATCAAGTCACCCTATGGAAGATAATCACACCTACAAAAAACGAGCTGGCTCCCTTGATATGAACCCTTCGGAGTGGCCTACGCCACCAACATCCAATATGATGCCTGATCCACATTCCATGCCTACTATTGCCATGCGACGAGCCACGGCCAGAGCTATTGTACCTCCTATTCTAAGTGAACCCCGTTTGGTCGAGCGGTTCCAATCACCATTATCCTATCCTGTTGTTTCTCTGCATACCGAATCACCCTCAAATCTAGTGGATGGCGCCTCGTACGACGCCACAGCCTTAGGCTATGAAGACTTTGCCGCTTGCGACTATGCTGCTGGCCAAGATACCATGAATGAATTTTCTGGACTATTTGGCCCCCCGCCTACTTAAGCTCAAAAAACCACCAGACAGTCCAAATGGAGAATGTCAAAACTCTACGAAACCAGAGCTTGTTTCCTCCCCCTCCCCTCCCACCGCAATACTCATGGCCTATATACCCTTTTTTTTCTTTTTTTTTGGTTGTCGTTTATTCTAATGTGATACATGTTCCATCATTGGCTGACCCCAGTCCCCTCCTTTCCCCCATCTCCAATTATGTAAAAAGACGGAAACAGATTTGAGGAACTACATAAAATGAAAGGTTAAACCAGAAAGAAGCTGCAGTGCAAAATGGAACAAATAGGAATGACACAGTTGAAAAGTCGGATGAAATCGGAATGTGCATGTCACATGCTCCTTTGACAGTTTGCTACGGTACGTTTATACCTCATGCCACGCCAGAACCCTGTTTAGGTATACAAAAATCACCGACCCCCGGATATGGGGTTCAGAGCAAGCAGGCAAAAGAAACAGGCCATCATAGAACAGCGGCCCAGGAAGCGGTTCAAAGCGCTATGAGGTTCTCAATGAGGTTCTTGTTGCTCTATGGTTCTCTTCGAACCATCATGGCAGGCACTCCCAAGTTGGGTAATATTTGATCTGGTACAACGCTTCTGATAAGATAAATAAAATGATTGGTGTAACAAGTGGACAATGGGCCATGCTTATCAAGAGGGATTTCCGTGTTTCTCCTGGCAGCCAGAGATGAGATCTCTGCTCGATACTCTGACCCTAAGATCATAGATAACCCTTTGTGCTCCCCGGCCACACTCTATGAATGGGCGTACACAGTTATCCAGATCATCTCCCTGGCTGATAAGGAAGAGGAGGTGCTGTTTCCTCTCGACCGAGCTTGTCTTTTGGGTTTCTGTCTTCTCTTTGATTAAAAAAGAAAAACCAGACTGTACTGTCATCTTCATACGTTCTGGGGAAATTCCACTAGGCGGGGGAAATAATAAGAAAGAACGACCTAATCTTAGCATGTGACCCGCATTGACAAGTATAACGGTTTGATAAGCGGGTCGCTAAATTTTTTTTCACCCAGCAGCAAGGCTTTAAAAAGTGAGCCAACGATTTCCGAAACGAATTTCTATTTCCCTTTGCTTCTCTCCCCACTCTTATCCCATCTATTGCTTTTGTATACCTTCAAATTGTAAATAATCGTAGAGGGTTTTACTAGCATCCATTCCATATAAGCACCAAACAACTCTCACTATAAGTATTAACCCTTGTCTGTTGAATGATCTCCGAGCAAAAGGAAAACACCTCATGGGCTGGAGCTATCCCCGTTGCCCAAGGATTGTATGATCCTCAGTATGAAAAGGATGCCTGTGGTGTCGGTTTTATCGTACACATCAAGGGAGGGAGATCGCACAAGATATTGAGCGATGCCAGCAACATTCTATGTAACATGACGCATCGAGGTGCGTCTGGTGCAGATATTAGAGACGGTGATGGAGCCGGTGTCATGACTGGTATTCCTCATCAATTTTTTGTGAACGAAACTTCAAGAGATCTTGGCATTCAATTGCCCCAGGAGGGCCAATATGCTGTTGGTAATCTTTTCATGAAGGGTGACCAAGCCGCTATTCAAGAATCCAAAAAGGTCTTTGAGACGTTGGCCGACGCCTTGCATTTGAAGGTCTTGGGTTGGCGTCATGTTCCTCGCGACTCCACCATCCTCGGTCCTGCTGCCAAATCCAAGGAGCCTGCTATTGAACAGCCATTTGTCGTTCTCAAGGGTGAAAAGTTTGATGAACAGTACTTTGAACGTCAGCTTTACGTCTTACGCAAGCATGCCACGCATACCATCACCATGAAGAAGTGGTTCTATGTTTGCTCCTTGTCTAACAAGAACATCGTCTACAAGGGCCAACTGACTCCCAAGCAAGTTTATGCTTACTTTTACGATCTCGTCAATGTTCAGTACACCACTCACTTTGCCCTTGTTCACTCTCGTTTCTCCACCAACACTTTCCCCTCGTGGGACCGTGCTCAACCTATGAGATGGTGTGCCCACAATGGTAAGTTGTATTTCTTGTTCAGTAGCGCCGACTCAAAAACCCTGGCGGAGTTAGCTCTAGATGTGCGCTTGAGACGAAAAAAACGGAGCATCAAAATTTCTCACACCACCATTATTGCATTCCCTATCAGGTGAAATCAACACCCTTCGAGGTAACAAAAACTGGATGAGATCGCGCGAAGGTGTGATGACCTCTGATAAGTTTGCCGATGAACTTGAGCTTTTGTACCCTATCGTGGAAGAAGGTGGTTCGGATTCAGCTGCATTCGATAACGTTCTCGAACTTTTGGTGGTCAATGGCGTTTTATCCCTTCCTGAAGCTGTCATGATGATGATTCCCGAAGCCTGGCAAAACAACGAGTACATGGAAGAGGAAAAGAAGGCTTTCTACCAATGGGCTGCTTCTTTGATGGAACCTTGGGACGGCCCTGCTTTGTTCACCTTCGCCGATGGTCGCTACTGTGGTGCCTCTTTGGATCGCAATGGTCTTCGTCCTTGCCGTTTCTACATCACCTCAGATGATATCATGATCTGTGCCTCCGAAGTTGGTACTATCTACATTGACCCCGAAACTATCGTACAAAAGGGCCGTCTTCAACCTGGTAAAATGTTGTTGGTCGATACCGTCGAGGGCCATGTGGTCGATGACAAGGAACTCAAGCTCAAGGTTGCCTCTCGCTTTGATTTCAAGCAGTGGGTAAAGAACCAAAAGATTACCCTGAACGATGTTGTAGCCAAGGCTGCTACCAAGTCCGCTTATCAAACTGTTTTGGATGAAACCACCGTCAACCACGATCCTCGTCTCAAGGCTTTTGGCTATACCTTGGAACAATTGAACCTTCTCATGATTCCTATGGCCACTAACGGAAAGGAAGCCCTTGGTTCTATGGGTAACGACAGTGCTTTGGCTTGTTTGGCTAAGCAACCCCGTTTGATCTATGAGTATTTCCGTCAACTCTTCGCTCAAGTCACCAACCCTCCCATCGATCCCATTCGTGAAGAGATTGTCATGTCTCTTGAATGCTATGTTGGTCCTGAAGGCAATATCTTGGAAATCGATGAGAAGCAAGCTCACAAGTTGACTCTTCCATCCCCCGTTCTTTCTATGCAAGAATTGGACGCGGTCAAGAACATGGAATCCGATTATGCCGGCTGGAAGGTCGCTACCATTGACATTACTTTCCCCAAGGAAGAAGGTGTTCAAGGTTATCTCAATGCCTTGGAACGTATCTGCAAGGAAGTCTCTACCAGCATTGAACACGGTGATAAGATTGTTATTCTGTCTGACCGTGCTACCAGTGCCGATCGCGTTGCTATTTCTTCTTTGATCGCTGTGGGTGGCGTTCACCATCATTTGGTTCGTAACAAGCAACGTTCTCGTATTGCTCTTATGCTTGAGACTGCTGAAGCTCGCGAAGTTCATCATTTCTGTGTCCTTCTTGGTTATGGTGCTGATGCTATCTGCCCTTACCTCGCTTTGGAAGCCATGCTCAAGTTGCACCGTGAAGGTGCTGTTCGTGATGAATTGACCCCTGAGAAGATCATCTACAACTTCCGCAAATCCATCAACAATGGTATTCTCAAGGTCATGTCCAAGATGGGTATCTCCACTTTGGCTTCTTACAAGGGTGCTCAAATCTTTGAGGCTCTTGGTGTTGATGACACTGTCATCGCTCGCTGCTTTGCTGGTACTGCCTCTCGTATCAAGGGTGTCACTTTTGACATCTTCGCTTTGGATGCTTTGACTTTCCATGAGAATGGCTATCCTTCCCGCAATCCAGTTCAACCCGCTGGACTTCCCGAATCCGGAGAATACCATTGGCGTGATGGTGGTGAACCTCATATTGCTGAACCCAGCGGTATCGCCAACTTGCAAGATGCTGTCCGTCAAAAGAACAAGTCTTCTTATGAAGCTTACTCTCGCAATGCTCATGATGCTATCAAGAACTGTACTCTTCGTGGTCTTCTTGACTTTGATTACGACAAGGCCAAGTCCATCTCTGTGGATCAAGTCGAACCTTGGACTGATATTGTCAAGCGTTTCGTTACCGGTGCCATGTCTTATGGTTCCATTTCCATGGAATCTCACTCTGCTCTTGCTGTAGCCATGAACCGTCTTGGAGGAAAGTCTAACACTGGTGAAGGTGGTGAAAAGCCTGAACGTTCTCAACCCCTTGACAACGGTGACAGCCGTCGCTCTGCTATCAAGCAAGTTGCCTCTGGTCGCTTCGGTGTCACCAGTTTCTATCTGTCTGATTCCGATGAACTTCAAATCAAGATGGCTCAAGGTGCTAAGCCTGGTGAAGGTGGTGAATTGGATGGTACCAAGGTTTCCGATGAAATCGCCAGTACTCGTAAGACCACTCCCGGTATCGGTTTGATTTCCCCTCCTCCCCATCACGATATCTACTCTATTGAAGATCTTAAGCAATTGATCTATGATCTCAAGTGCAGCAACCCTCGCGCTCGTGTCTCTGTCAAGCTTGTCTCCGAAGTTGGTGTCGGTATTGTTGCTGCTGGTGTCGCCAAGGCTAAGGCTGATCATATCTTGATTTCTGGTCACGATGGTGGTACTGGTGCTTCTCGATGGACCGGTATCAAATACGCTGGTCTTCCTTGGGAACTTGGTTTGGCTGAAACTCATCAAACTCTTGTTCTTAACGATCTTCGTGGAAGAGTTGTTGTTCAAACTGATGGTCAGATCAAGACTGGTCGTGATGTTGCCATTGCCTGCTTGCTCGGTGCTGAAGAATGGGGTTTCGCTACCACTCCTTTGATTGCTCTTGGTTGTATTATGATGCGCAAGTGCCATGTAAGTTATAATTCACCTCTGTCGTTTTTTTTTTTTTCCCCAAAAAAAATTTTTTTTTTTGCATTTATTCTAACCAACTTTGCCCTTTTTCTATAGCTTAACACTTGCCCTGTCGGTATCGCTACTCAAGACGCTGATCTTCGCAAGAAGTTTGAAGGCTCTCCTGAGCACGTTGTCAACTTCTTCTACTATGTTGCTGAGGAATTGAGAGATATCATGGCCAAGCTTGGTTTCCGTTCTATCAATGAGATGGTGGGCCGCACCGAAATGCTTCGCGTCAACGACTCTTTCCGCAACTACAAGACTGCCAACATTGATCTTTCCCCCATCTTGACCCCTGCTTCCACTTTGAGACCTGGTGTTGCCACTTACAATGTTCGCAAGCAAAACCATAACCTCCATGTCCGTCTTGACAATTTCTTGATCGAGGAAGCTCAACCTGCTCTTGAGAACAAGGAGCGTGTCGTCATTGAAACCGACATTGTTAACACTGACCGTGCTCTTGGTACTACCCTCTCTTACTATGTCTCCAAGCGTCATGGTGAACATGGTTTGCCTCATGACACCATCCACGTCAAGCTCAAGGGCTCTGCTGGACAATCTCTTGCTGCTTTCTTGGCACCTGGTGTCTTCTTCGAATTGGAAGGTGATGCTAACGATTATGTTGGTAAGGGTCTTTCTGGTGGTAAGATCGCCATCTTCCCTCCCAAGAACTCCTCCTTCAAGTCCGAAGACAACATCATTATTGGTAATGTCTGCTTGTATGGTGCCACCAGTGGTCAAGCTTTCTTCCGTGGTATTGCTGCCGAACGTTTCTGCGTTCGTAACTCTGGTGCTACCGCTGTCTGTGAAGGTGTCGGTGATCACGGTTGTGAGTACATGACAGGTGGTCGTGCTATCATTCTTGGAAGCACTGGACGCAACTTCGCTGCTGGTATGTCTGGTGGTATTGCCTATGTCTTGGATCTCAAGGGTAACTTCAAGGACAACGTCAACATGGAAATGGTTGAACTTGAAACCATCAACGATGTTGCTGAAATTGCTGAAGTCCGTGGACTCATTGAAGACCATCGTCACTACACTGGTTCCGAGATCGCTGACCGTGTTCTTAAGGACTTCAACAAGTACTTGCCAAAGTTCGTCAAGGTTATGCCCATTGAATACCGTGCTCTTTTGGAAAGACAGCGTCGTGCAAAGCTTGAGGAATCCGCCCCCAAGAAGGTTGAAGAACCTGTTGCTCCTGCTTCCCATGAACCCTCTTTGGTCGATCTTGAAGATCAAGTCCTCGATGAGGAACAAACTAAGGAACGTCGTGCTAAGCTCGACAAGGTGCGTGGTTTCAAGAAGTACAAGCGACGTGGTGACAAGTACCGTGATTCCGAGAAGCGTACCTCTGATTGGGATGAAATCAACAACCGTCTCTCTCCTTCTGAACTTCATGTTCAAGCTGCTCGTTGCATGGACTGTGGTGTTCCATTCTGTCAATCCGACACTGGTTGTCCCATTGGTAACATCATTCCCAAGTGGAATGAACTTGTCTACAAGGATGAATGGCAATCTGCTCTTGACCGTCTCATGATGACCAACAACTTCCCCGAGTTTACTGGTCGTGTCTGCCCTGCTCCTTGTGAAGGTGCTTGTGTTCTTGGTATCACTGAATCTCCCGTCAGCATCAAGAGCATTGAAGCTGCTATTATTGATCGTGGTTTCGATGAAGGCTGGATCGTTCCTCGCACTGACATTGTTCGTACTGGAAAGAAGGTCGCTGTTATTGGTTCTGGCCCTGCTGGTCTCGCTGCTGCTGATCAATTGAACAAGGCTGGTCACTCCGTTACCGTCTATGATCGCAATGATCGCATTGGTGGTCTTCTCATGTACGGTATTCCCAACATGAAGCTCGACAAGAAGATTGTTCAACGTCGTATTGACTTGCTCGCTGCTGAAGGCATCAAGTTTATCACCAATACCAACGTGGGTGTTGATATCGATGCCAATGAGATCCGCGCACAAAATGATGCGGTCATCATTGCTACTGGTGCCACCTGGCCCCGTGACCTCAAGATCAAGGGTCGTGAATCCAATGGTGTTCACTTTGCCATGGAGTTCTTGCAGGCTAATACCAAGTCTCTTCTTGATTCTGAACTCAAGGATGGTCAATATCTCTCTGCTAAGGGCAAGAACGTCATTGTCATTGGTGGTGGTGATACTGGTAACGATTGTATCGGTACCTCTGTTCGTCATGGATGCAAGTCTGTAGTCAACTTTGAATTGCTACCTCAACCACCCAACCAGCGTGCCAACGACAACCCCTGGCCACAATTCCCACGGGTTTTCAAGGTCGATTATGGTCACTCTGAAGTTCAATCTCACTTTGGTCGCGATCCCCGTGAATACTGCGTTTTGTCCAAGGAATTTGTTGTCGATGCTGATAACAACGTCAAGGGTATCAACATTGTTCGTGTCGAATGGACAAAGGATGAGAGTGGACGATGGAACATGAAGGAGGTCGCTGGCTCAGAAGAATTTTTCCCTGCTGATCTTGTCCTCCTTTCTATGGGTTTCCTTGGCCCTGAAGATGCCCTAATTAAGCAACTTTCTGTCAAGCAAGATGGCCGAAGCAACATTGAGACCCCTCGCGGCAAGTATGCCACCAGCGTTCCCGGTGTGTTTGCTGCCGGTGATTGCCGTCGTGGACAATCACTCATTGTCTGGGGTATCAATGAAGGTCGCCAAGCTGCCAGAGAAATTGATTCTTGGTTGGAGGGTAACACTTACCTTCCTGTTGCTGGCGGTATTCGTCAGCGCACATTTGAGCAACCTGTCAAGGCCATCGTTCAGCCAGTTGCTGCATAAATCAAAACCAATGCCGGCTGCTCTTGTTCTAAATTCATCTTTCTTCACATATACATATTTCATACACTGAGCTTTTTCAAATTTGAAGTAACCTTTTTTTTTCCCCCCCTTTCCAACTTATTGAAAAAAAAAAAAAATTATCATAGCATACAGGGTCTTTTATGGCTGTAGAAAATTATGTTCTCTATTTTTTCACGGGTGTTTTTTTTTTCACATATATTATATAGCTCTTTTTCTTTTTGAAAAAATAAAAAAAATAATTCAACACCAAAAGAACAGTGGCTGGTTGACATGTAATGTTGTCACTCGGCCGTGTGCGATACATGTGCATTATCACTCACCTTATCGGAGGGCTACTAGGGTCAGGAAACATCAAAAAAGGGACCCGAGACAGGTTTGATTGCCAGTACATCTCCCTTTCCTTTTAAAACAAAAATACAGTATAAAATAATTTCTTTGCTGTGCATTAGTAGAAAAATAATACGCCCTGTCAAACTTTTAGAATCGACAAGACATCCAGGGATAAACAGGTCACATGAGCCCCGAGGATGGACAACACAACGCCCAATCTTTTGGCATTTACTTCCAGTTCCAGCTAAGCCATATCGATATATCAAAGGACACGTTAGATGGAGGGGGTAAGTTGTTTCAAGTAAGTAATTGTGGACTTGAAGAGTAATCATACCAGTCGAGGTATTTGGCGCTCTGGCCAAACCCCTTTGAGGAATGTCCGCACTCCTTCTTTTAAAAGAAGTACACAGACACTGACGCACTTGCACACGCTCCCTCACGCCGCCCTATTCCGCCCATATGCAGACGTTTTTTTTTTTTTTTTATTCGCTTAGTCTCCATGTGCTGAGAGGCCAACCCAAAGACTGGTATGGTGTTCTGTGGCCATATGGAATGAGGCAACTTGATGTCAAATAACCTCGGGCAGAGCCAAATCGGACGCCATTGGGCGTTAAATGAGGCCATGGCTGGTTAAAATCTGATGGGTTGTTATAATCGATCTATCGTTCCGCCATTTTGCTTTATTATTATTTTTTACACCGCTTCCATTCCCTTCAAACTTTGATTCTGTCAACGCCTACATCAATGTTATCTGCTTGAAAAATAACCTCCACAAACAAAAACTCTATCGTTCTCTTAACATTCGCTTGAGCGTTATCGTTAACGTGGGGTTGTGTTCTTTTTGTCATATCATTTCTTTCCCGTCCCTGTTCCCGGTTGAAACGCCCAAAACGAGCATTACGGGGTTCTCCTTGGCGCCTTTTGACGTGTAACTGGGCGTTGTAATGCCTCCTGAACCCCTTTGAGTGTGGGTGGTAGGCACAAATATTCGAGATCATCGCGTGCGATGGTCGAAAATAATCATAATAAAAAAAAAAACGGTCGGTTAGTCTCGGTTGTGTGGCAGCATGCTATATAAATCAACCATGGGCGAGACAGGCCACTTTACTTTCTTTTACTCGTCTTTTTATTTATTGCCATTCAATTTTGACCCTCCCCTGTTCATAAACTTACATCATGTCCTATGTTGTTAAACCTGTCAATCTGGCTGGCGGTCAATGTGCTTGGTGCGGCAAATATGGTCACAAGAGACCAAGTTGTCCTTTATTGAAGTGAAGGAACAACCACTTATCCTCCTCTAACCCTCCATCTCAGTCAATACTATGCCATCCCATCCATGGTCATACACTTTTTGGTTCGAACGCTATATCGCAAGTACGGTCGGGGCTCGCTGTTCTCCGTTATGTGCCTTTTTGGTTTTTTTTTCCTGTACAAAGTCTCTATCTCATTTTCACCTCAGAACTGGCACTTGTGCCGTTCAAACCCATTGTCGTTTTTGTCAATATGTCCATACATTAGATCCATCTTGTCACTCAATAAAAAAAAAAAAGTTTGTTTGTTTTCATCGCATACTTTCCCCCCCCCCCCACCATTTTGTGTGGCCTTCAATGCCACGTCGCAGCCAAGCGGAAACTTGAATGTGATTGGCTAATTTTGAGTAGACGTCACGTCGGAAATCATTTCCACTCGCGTTCTTTCTGAGCTTGTAGAGGCCAATCCAACCCGCCTGTCCCTGTCTGTTCATCACGTCAGATTCAACCTGAAAGTTCGGTGCAACTACTCCTTGTCGTGCAACAGGTAAACCGATTGTCTACTTTATAGCATGTACATGGTTGGAAGTGAGACACCACGTATCATCCGCCGTCATCTTGCCCAGTTGATGTCGACAAACCAATAGCCCCCCAACCCTGCTTGACCTCATAGCTGACATTTTGCCAACTTCTTCTGCCGAATTCTCTCTAGCTTTCACATCATTTTGATAACCAAATCTTGAGTGTTGTAACCCGACTCACTTCATTACAAGATGCAGATGCTTACGAAGGTAACGACCATTTATCTTAACCAACACAGCCCAGTTCATTCGCGATGCATACTAAAACTTGCCGCCACCATTTTAGTTTGAGTCTAAAAGCAATCGTGTTAAAGGCATTGCTTTTCACCCAAAACGCCCTTGGATTCTTGCATCTCTACACAATGGATGCATTCAACTGTGGGATTATAGAATGGGAACATTGCTCGAGCGCTTTGACGAACATGATGGTAAGCGTTCTTAGGGATTCCACTAATAAGCAAGAAACTTCTTGCGCCTCGCCTTGTCCCTGCTCATGTAAACTAACTTGCCGTGTTTCTCCTCTCGCAGGTCCCGTCAGAGGTATCGCTTTCCACCCTTCTCAACCCTTATTCGTATCCGGTGGCGACGACTATAAGATTAAAGTGTGGAATTATAAAACCCGTCGTTGTCTATTCACTTTGAATGGCCATTTGGATTACGTACGCACCGTGTTTTTCCACCACGAAAATCCTTGGATTCTATCAGCTTCCGACGATCAAACCATTCGCATTTGGAACTGGCAGTCTCGTACTTGTATTGCCATCCTCACCGGTCACAACCACTATGTTATGTCCGCACAATTCCATCCAAAGAATGATTTGGTTGTCAGTGCTTCTATGGATCAAACTGTTCGAGTTTGGGATATTTCAGGTGCGTTAACGCCCTAGTGAATTATAAACCTTTCCTGCATACATTGGTCTCACTCCATTTAACCTTATAGGTCTTCGAAAAAAGAACCAAGCTCCTGGATCACAAGCTTATGAAGATCACTTCAATCGCCAAAATAGTCAGGCTGATTTGTTCGGTAGCACTGATGTTATGGTCAAATATGTCTTGGAAGGTCACGATCGAGGTGTCAACTGGGCTACTTTCCATCCCACCATGCCTTTGATTGTGTCTGCTGGTGATGATAGACAAGTTAAGCTTTGGAGGATGAATGGTAAGTAGGAAAACATTATACGTGGCACAACGTGGCATTCATCTGGTGTGTAGGACTGACCCGTCATACAACCTAGACACGAAGGCTTGGGAAGTCGATACTTGCCGTGGCCATTTCAACAACGTATCCAGTGCTATCTTCCATCCTCGTCAAGAATTGATCTTGTCCGATGGTGAAGATAAATCCATTCGGGTTTGGGATATGTCCAAGAGAAACTCTGTCGCCACTTTTAGAAGAGATCATGATCGTTTCTGGGTCCTGACCGCTCACCCAGAGCTCAACTTGTTTGCTGCAGGTAAAAAATCAACCGCTTGATGTGGCATCTCTTCTTTGCCATGGACATTTTTCATTATGTTTAACTAAATACGTTTTTCTAGGTCATGACAATGGTCTTATTGTCTTCAAGTTGGAACGTGAACGCCCTGCCTTCCAGGTCAACCGTAACAACCTCTTTTACATTCAAAACAAGGTCCTCCATGTTCACGACTTTAACAATGGCAATGATAGAGAACTCTTGTCAGTCCGCAAACTCGGAAGTCAGTACGTGCAGCCACGTACTTTGTCATACAACCCTGCTGAAAAGGCCGTCCTAGTCACCTCCCCTCACGAAGGTGGCACTTATGAGCTTTTCAACCTTCCTCGCGACGTTTCTGGTGATCTTCGAGAGCCTGCTGATGAAGGAAAACGTGGAAGCGGATCATCTGCCATCTTCATTGCCCGTAACCGCTTTGCTGTATTCGACAAGACCAATCAGCAAATTCAGATCCGCGATCTTACTAATACCGTTACGAAGTCATTCAAGCCACCTACACAAATCAATGAGATTTTCTATGCCGGTACCAGCACTTTACTTATGGCCACTGGCACCTCTGTCATCCTCTATGACATCCAACAGAGAAGAACCATTGCAGAATTGACTACGCCCATGGTTAAATACGTCGTTTGGTCCGCTGACATGAATCTCGTTGCCTTGCTCAGCAAGCACAGTAAGTGAACTTGAGATTTCTACTTTGATATGTGTAGCGCTGGGTTTTTAAACGTTTTGGTTTTGTGTCTATAGCCATCACCATCGCCGATAAGGACTTGCAACAAAAGTGTCTCATTCACGAAACCATTAGAATCAAGAGCGGTACTTGGGATGACGCCGGCGTTTTTGTCTACTGTACTTTGAATCACATCAAATATGCTCTGCCTCAAGGGTAAGTTGTGCTGGGCGGTTTTATTGTTGATTGGGTCACGGTCACTAAGCGATTCCTCCCTCTCCATTAGTGACAACGGCATCGTTCGCACCCTCGACCAACCCGTCTACTTAACCAGAGTAAACGGAAAGAGTCTGCACATTCTTGATCGCGATGGCAATGCTCGGGTCATGCAAATCGACCCTACAGAATATCGTTTCAAGTTGGCCTTGGTTAAGAGACAGTACGACGAAGTCCTGCACATTATTCGCAACTCTAACCTTGTTGGTCAATCCATCATTGCTTACTTGCAAAAGAAGGGATACCCAGAGGTTGCTCTTCACTTTGTTCGTGACGATCGCACTCGCTTTGAACTTGCATTGGAGTGTGGCAATTTGGAAGTTGCTCTTGAGACCGCTCGTTCCATGGACACTGAGGATTGTTGGCAAAAGCTGAGTGTAGAAGCTTTGAAGCAGGGTAACCAGCAGGTACGTCGTCCTTTCACAAGTACCAAACAAAGTCAGATCATTCGAGCAGTCCTTAACCCTTATGATTTCCATATATCTCTCTTAGATTGTTGAGTCTGCTTACCAGCGTATCAAGAACTATGATCGCCTCTCTTTCTTGTATCTCGCCACTGGCAATACCGACAAGTTGCGAAAGATGCTCAAGATTGCCGAGCTTAGAAATGACCCCATGTCACGTTTCCAAAACGCTCTCTATCTTGGTGATGTTGAAGAACGTATCAGACTCCTTCGAGATGTTGGACAACGTAAGTAGAATGGAAATATGGAGGAATTCTCTTGCGGTAGTATGAACTGGCGCCAACTTATTTTGCTTACTCTCCATGACTTAGTTCCCTTGGCTTACCTCACTGCCAAGTCCAACGGGCTCACCGAACTGGCTGAAGAAATTCTCGCTCAGGCCGGAAAAACTGAAGACGAGATTGAATTGCCAGAGGCGCCCAGCCAACCTCTCACTGTTCCTCAACCTGTGATCCAGCTTCAAGATAACAACTGGCCCCTCTTGACCGTATCAAGATCCTTCTTTGAAGGATCCTTCTCTCTCGATCAGAAGAACGATCAACAAGCTGCTGCTCCTGGCTTGCAATTCACTGACGACATTGAAGATATTGAAGAAGCTGGTGGCGATTGGGGTGCTGATGACGAAAATGAAATAACCGGTATCTCACAAGTGCCACATGGTGGTGATGAAGATGACTTGGAAGGAGACGATGAAGAAGGCGGTTGGGACATGGATACCGATATTAAAATTCAAATGCAAGAACAAAGCCAAGCACCTGTGGAGACGGCTGAATTTGTTGCACCCACAGCTGGTACCAGTGAATCATCCTCATGGATTCAAAGCTCGCCGCTTGCTTCGGACCACATTGCTGCTGGATCGTTTGAAACCGCCATGCAAATGCTCAATCGCCAAGTGGGTATTGTCAACTTTGAACCCCTTAAATCGCGATTCATGGCCATCTACCAAGCATCTCGTGCTTCCCTCTCTGGCAACCCTAATATACCATCCATGTGGGTCTACCTTCGTCGAAACCAAGAAGATTTTGATCCCCGTCGATCGTTGCCAGCTGTTGCTCACAATTTCCAAAATCTCATCACCGCCAACCTTCAACCTGCATACAATGCTTTCACCAAGGGACGATTTGCTGTAGCTACTACGCAGTTCAAGACTCTGTTACACTCTCTTCTGTTTACCGTTGTCAACACTCCGGCTGAAGCTGAAGAAGTCAAACAGTTGGTTGGTATTTGTAGAGAATATCTATTGGGTTTGTCCATGGAGCAAAAGCGCCGTGCCATTGGTGCCTCTCCCGAAGCCACCAAACAAGCTTTAGAATTGGCTGCCTACTTTACTCACTGCCAGCTTCAAGTGCCACACATGCAACTTGCATTAAGACAAGCCGCCAAGCTCTGTTTCAAGAACAAGAACTTTAGCAGTGCCAGCACCTTTGCTCGCCGACTTTTGGAATTAGCTCCTGTCACCACTGTGGCCAATGAGGCTCGTCAAATCCAAGCTGCTTGCGAACGTACTCCCACGGATGAAATCAAGCTAGGTTACGATCAGTACAACCCATTTGTCGTGTGCGGTATATCGTATGAGGCCATCTACAAGGGCTCACCTAAGGCTGATTGTCCTTATTGTTCCACCTCTTACCTACCTGAACATCAAGGCAAAGTCTGTACAGTATGTGAAGTAGCGCAAATCGGATCACAGGGCTCTGGTTTGAGAGTTACCGCATAGAAATTTTAGTATCAGAGGGTTTGTCTTGATGCTCACCTCCGGACAACAAAGAGAAAAAATAAGAAAATGAAAAAATACGAAATTCCCCCCAATTAAAATTACCGAACCCCTACATTCTTTTATTATAACCGGCCTGCAATAGAGTAAAGTGGATGTGATGTGTACCGGCGTCGCGTCGGATGTGTGGTTTACTGAGTTCTAGTCACTTCATGGTGCTCGCCATGCACTGAACATTGCCCATGACATGGACTTTCGCCCTGCTGCACAGCAATCACCTACAGTTTTTTTTTTTTTTTAAAAAAAAAAAAAAAAGAGGATAGCATAGATAGCTCAAGGTAGTACTGTCTGTCAAGTATGAAAGCATCGGCTGTACTTTGTATATCTACAATTCAATTTGTTTATTACCATAAAAGAGTAACTTTCGTATGTTGCTTTAGAATTCAATAGTCATTTTTTCTGTCTATTTAAAACTTTGAGGGGGTTTTGTTTTGTTGTAATCATCTAAATTCTAACCTCGAACTACACAGTGTATTTAGTCGACTTCCTCAATGGAAGGCTCGCTGTTGTCACCGGGGAAACCACCGGGGGCAGCACCAGGAGCAGCACCGCCAGGGAAACCTCCAGGTTGGCCACCAGCAGCACCAGCTGCAGCATAAAGCTTCTGCATAATGGGGTTGGCAACAGCCTCGACCTCCTTCTGGCGAGCCTCGAACTCCTCAGTGGAAGCTTCTTGGTTCTCATCGAGCCACTTGATAGCTTCATCAACAGCCTCGTTGAGCTTGGTCTTGTCATCAGCCTCGAGCTTACCACCAACGTTCTCATCTTGGAGAGTGTTGCGGAGGTTGTAAGCATAAGACTCGAGACCGTTCTTGGCAGCAATACGGGCAGCAGCGGCTTCATCTTCAGCCTTGTATTTCTCAGCTTCGGAAACCATACGCTCAATATCTTCCTTGGAAAGACGACCCTTGTCGTTGGTGATGGTGATCTTGTTGGACTTGCCAGTGGTCTTATCGAGAGCAGAGACGTTCAAGATACCGTTAGCATCAACATCGAAGGTAACTTCGACTTGAGGAACACCACGGGGAGCGGGAGGAATACCAGTAAGCTCGAACTTGCCGAGAATGTTGTTATCCTTGGTGCGAGCACGTTCACCTTCGAAGACTTGAATCAAGACACCGGGTTGGTTATCGGCGTAGGTGGAGAAGACTTCAGACTTCTTGGTGGGGACAGTGGTGTTACGCTTGATAAGAGCAGTCATGACACCACCAGCGGTCTCAATACCGAGAGAGAGAGGAGCGACATCGAGAAGAAGGAGATCCTGGGTCTTCTCAGAGGTATCACCAGTCAAGATAGCAGCCTGGACGGCAGCACCGTAGGCGACAGCCTCATCGGGGTTGATGGACTTGTTGGGCTCCTTACCGTTGAAGAAGTCAGAGACCATCTTCTGGACCTTGGGGATACGGGTGGAACCACCAACAAGGACGATATCGTGGACAGAGGCCTTGTCGATCTTGGAGTCACGGAGAACCTTCTCAACGGGTTCCATGGTGTTGCGGAAAAGATCCTGGTTGAGTTCCTCGAAACGGGCACGGGTCAAGGAAGTGTAGAAATCAACACCCTCGAACAAGGAATCGATTTCGATGGAGGTCTGGGCAGCAGAAGAGAGAGTACGCTTAGCACGCTCGCAAGCAGTGCGGAGACGACGGACAGCACGGGGGTTGCCAGAGATGTCCTTCTTGTGCTTGCGCTTGAACTCTTGAACAAAGTGGTTGACAAGACGGTTATCGAAATCTTCACCACCAAGATGGGTGTCACCAGCAGTAGCCTTGACTTCGAAGATACCATCTTCAATGGTAAGGAGGGAGACATCGAAGGTACCACCACCAAGATCGAAGATGAGGACATTGCGCTGTGATGAGAATTATTGAGAGTCAGTAACCAAAAGAAATTATTATGCCCCAGTGGTTGTTGACGTGACCGCGATTTCGCGAACCCCCATCGCTATTATTATTATTTTTTCTGAGCCATTCCAGAAGATTCTCAAAACTCCCGCTATGATAACTCACCTCACCCTCAACCTTCTTGTCGAGACCGTAGGCAATAGCAGCGGCAGTAGGCTCGTTGATGATACGGAGAACGTTCATACCAGAGATCATACCGGCATCCTTGGTAGCTTGACGCTGGGAGTCGTTGAAGTAAGCAGGGACGGTAACAACAGCGTTGTTGACAGTGGTGCCAAGGTAAGCCTCAGCGGTTTCCTTCATCTTGAGAAGGACCATGGAAGAGATTTCTTCGGGAGTGAAGACCTTTTGCTCACCCTTGTATTCAACTTGAATCTGGGGCTTGCCTTCCTTGTCAATGACCTTGAAGGGCCAGTGCTTCATATCAGACTGGACTTCGTTATCAGCGAAACGACGACCGATAAGACGCTTGGCATCGAAAACGGTGTTGATGGGGTTCATGGCGACCTGGTTCTTGGCGGCATCACCGATCAAACGCTCAGAGTCGGTGAAACCAACGTAAGAGGGAGTAGTACGGTTACCTTGATCGTTGGCAATGATTTCAACACGATCGTTTTGCCAGACAGCAACGCAAGAGTAGCTGTTCGTTTTTAAAAAATAGAAAAAAGTGAGTAGGTCGTATCGACAGCAGGAGGTGGGTGGCCCAGTTGCTTTAACTTACGTAGTACCCAAATCAATACCAACTGCGAAAGCATAGAATGAGTAATCAAGTTGTTGGTATGATGTTGTGAAAGATTGTTTACATACCAGCTTTTCCTTCAACCATAATGAATTATTTAAAAAAGGTAGGAGAAAGAAGAGGATTATTATAGATGAGGACACTTTATAGCGCGATCGCGTTCCCGAGCTATCAGCAAAAAAATTTTCGACACTTTCCTCAACTTTCGAATACTTTCCATTTGGAGCGGAGTTTAGATGCCCAGCTTCAGTATCATTGTGATGACTGATTCCTGCCTAGAGAGCCGTGTTCGAGCCATATCAACATTAGCTATTCTGCGGTAGAAGTCCGTAAGTGCCAGATCCTTGGATCTTCACTAACATAACTATGTTTCTTATACCAGAACTTAGCCGTTGGTACTCAGGAACTATGCATTTGCCCGGCTGTGCCATTGACACTTATGGTCTTTCAGCCTTGCATGTTTAAAGTATATGATGTGCAAAGACCAAGGCTACTGTAAACTGGGAAGTATTGTCATGACGTGTTACAAAAACTGTAGATATACTCCTACACTTCGCATCATAACGCTGAGTCCGTAAAGCTAAACACCGTTGATCCTCTTTCTCTCTGTTCCTGCTTTCAAGCAAGATCCACGAAAGTTAGCAGGGGTCAAATCGGTCAGGGGGGTTGGAGTGGATTAAAAATGAACCGCACTGCCCACATGAAGTCAATCAAAGCACACACACCTTTGTTGTGGTTGATTGCTTTACCTCCGCTCAGACATACCTCATCTTGGGCAGGTCTCTGATATCATCAAAAAGGTCTCAAGTTTACCTGACCATTTCAAAGCCAGCGGCATTGAGGGCTCTGACCAGCATTTCTTGCGAACGTAAGCTTCCAAACTCCTCTAGTAGCAGTTTCTTTCCCAAAGTGTTGTAAGGTCACGTGAGTGCCTTATTATTTATGAGTTGAAAGAGAACTGTCTTTTATTGAATGGAAACAAACGGAATCTATGGTTGATCAGTCATGTGACTGTCGGACATGACATCCCCCCACTGAAAATGGTGTTTACTCGTGCGCGTGGAAACGCTTGAGCCGAGAGATGTCCACATTGTTGTATGTGGTTATCGAGTTGCCGACATCATAACGCGAAGGAGATAATATATCCAGGATACGGAATGGACCGACCCAGCGAGGGAGCAGCTTGGGTGGTGTACTTTTGTCTATATGACTTTTGTGGTCATTGTGTAGCCAGACGGCTTCGTCTTTGCTGAGTGGAGGAGCTTCAGCTATCAACGGTTTTGGATGTAAGGACTGCACAAGTTGATGGGCTTCGCGGATCCCTG